CTATCTCCAGGTATTAATTTATTAAATAATAATTTTTATCTAATTTATTTTTAATTAATATATTATATAATTTAATAGGATGAAGTTTTCAAGATAATACTAGTATAATTATATATTTACCTGCAGATATTACTTATTCTTCATTATATATACAATATATAGAAGCAATAGAAAATACTGATCAATATGAAATAAGTTTATCAACATTTAGTAGAATTTGGAAAAAGTTTTTGCCACATATTAAAAAATTAACACCACGAAGTGATTTATGTCTAAAATGTAAAGATATGTGATTTAATGCAAATTATTGGACTAGTGAAGAAAAAGAAACTAAAGTATTAGAATAGTATAAACATATAGAATGGGCACATAAAGAAAGAGAAAATTATAAGTAAATAATTTTATTATTTTTATTTTATTAAATAATATTAATTTTTATTTAAATTTTATAGAAATTATATTAATATTGCAAGTAATAATATTCAAAAATTTGGAATTAATAATTTAATACATCCTGGAAAACCTAATTCTTTAGATATTACAATTCATCTTTCTTGAGATTATGCACAACAAATTCAATTACCACATTCATCACAACAAGAAGTAAGTTTTTATTATAAAATTTATAAATAATTATTTTATTTTTTATTTAAATTATTTATTTATAATTAGGGTGAACTATATTTTAAATCTTTATATAAAGTTCATTTATTTGGAATATGTGATGATGCATTTCCACGTCAAGTAAATATAAAATTTATTATATAATATAATATTAAAATAATTAATATAAATTATAAATTTATTATAATTTTTAGGTAAATTATCTTATTAAAGAAAATGAATTAGTTGGCAAAGGTGCAGATACTGTTATATCTTTAGTACATAATTATTTTCAATTACATGGTTTAGGAGAAAAAAATTTAGTAATTCATGCAGATAATTGTTCCGGACAAAACAAAAATAATGCTATGATAGCATATTTAACTTGGAGAGTTTTAAATAAATTACATAATAGTATAACTTATTGTTTTATGATTGCTGGACATACTAAATTTAGTCCTGATAGATTTTTTGGTCTTATAAAATTACTTTTACGAAAATCAGAAGTAGATAATTTAGAAGATTTAGTTAAAGTAGTTGAAAATTCTACACCTGGTGGATATAATATTGTACAAACAGTATTTGATAAAAATGGAAATCAAGTAGTACATTTTTATGAATGGACAGATTGGCTAAAACAAAATTTTATAACAATTCCAAATATTTTAAAACAACATTATTTTGAATTTAATAATTTATATAAAGGACAAGTTAAAATTAGTACATCATCTTATGGAGAAAAAACTATAATACAAATAGAAAAAACTAAACAACAAAATAATTTAAATCAATTAGTTGAAAAAAATTTACCAGGTCTTAGTATTGAATGACAATGGTATTTATATGAACAAATAAGAAATCATATACAAAATCTAAGTAAAAAAGATGATCTTTGTCTAATGCCTACTATATCTAAATTAACAAAATCAAAAAAATAAATTAATTATATAAATTTATAAAATTTAATATTTATAATATAAAATATAAATTAAAATAAACTAAAAAAATAATATTTTGTAAGCTAAAATCTTAATTATTAGATTTTATATTTTAAAAATAAATTTAAAATTTTTAAGTTTTATAAATTACAATTATAATAAATTATAATTAAAATAATAAATAAAATACTGTATATAAATTTATATAAATTTATTTAATAAATTAAAAAATTTAAATAATACAAATTTTATTTTAAATTTAAAAAAAAAATCTTTAATTATAATAAACTTATTTTAAGTTTTTTTTTTTTTTTTATAAATTCTATTGGATTAGGTTTAAAAACTATGTAGTAGTTTTTGAACCAAATCCACTAGAATCTACAAAAGTCTTTATTCTATAATATTCAATAAAATAATAAAAAATTTTTTTATTACTAAAAATTTTTAAATCTAATTCACTAAAATCTCTAACAACAAGCACTAGAAGTATTTAAACCAATTTACTAGAATTTAGAAAACCTTCGTTACTGGTAGTTATTGAACCAAATCCACTGAAATTTAAGAGACTTTTACTAAACCATATCTATTAGAATTCAGAAAAAGACCTTTGCTAGTAGTTTTGAACCAAATCTACAGAAATTTAAATGATTTTAATTACCTTCGCCAATTTGTCATGCGCCCCTAACCCACGCATAACTGTTGTAACCAACCAATAAGAACATTACATCCATCAAGATCATTACTCCAATGGCAAATACTAGAAACATTTGAATCAATTCACTAGAATTTAGAAAAACCTTCGTTACTGGTAGTTATTGAACCAAATCCACCCGAATCCTAATCTACTTGAAATCAAAAAGGTAATTCTTTAGTGATGACCAAAATACTTTTGCTGAACCATATCTACTAGAACTCAGAAAGACCTTTGCTGGCAGTTTTGAACCAAATCCACAGAAATTTAAATGATTTTAATTACCTTCGCCAATTTGTCATGCACCCCTAACTTGCATATAACTGTCATAACCAACTAATAAGAATGTTACGTTCATCAAGATCATTACTCTAATGACAAATACTGAAGCATTTAAACCAATTCACTAGAATTTAGAAAAACCTTCGTTACTAGTAGTTATTGAACCAAATTCACCTGAGTTTAAGATTTTCGTTACCGGATCCTAATCTACCTGAAATCAAAAAGACAATTCTTTAGTGGTGACTAAAATACTTTTGCTGAAACATATCCACTGGAATTCGGAAAGACCTTAGCTGGCAGTTTTGAATCAAATCCACAGAAATTTAAATAATTTTAATTATCTTCGCCAATTTGTCATGCGCCTCTAACCCATGCATAACTGTCGTAACCAACCAATAAGAACGTTATGTCTATCAAGATCATTACTCCAATAGCAAACACTAGAAGCATTTGAATCAATTCACTAGAATTTAGAAAAACCTTCGTCACTGGTAGTTATTGAACCAAATCCACCTGAGTTAAGATTTTCGTTACCGGATCCTAATCCACTTGAAATCAAAAAGGCAATTCTTTAGTAATGACCAAAATACTTTTGCTGAACCATATCTACTAGAATTCGGAAAGACCTTTGCTGGCAGTTTTGAACCAAATCCACAGAAATTTAAATGATTTTAATTACCTTCACCAATTTGTCATGCGCCCCTAACCCGCGCATAACTGTCATAACCAACCAATAAGAATGTTACGTCTATCAAGATCATTACTTTAATGACAAACACTGAAGCATTTGAACCAATTCACTAGAATTTAGAAAAACCTTCGCTACTAGTAGTTATTGAACCAAATCCACCTGAGTTTAAGATTTTCATTACTGGATCCTAATCTACTTGAAATCAAAAAGACAATTCTTTAGTGGTGACTAAAATACTTTTGCTGAACCATATTCACTGGAATTCGGAAAGACCTTTGCTGGCAGTTTTGAATCAAATCCACAAAAATTTAAATGATTTTAATTACCTTCGCCAATTTGTCATATGTCCCTAACTCGCGCATAACTGTTGTAACCAACCAATAAGAACGTTACATCCATCAAGATCATTACTCCAATGGCAAATACTAGAAGCATTTGAACCAATTCACTAGAATTTAGAAAAACCTTCGTTACTAGTAGTTATTGAACCAAATCCACCTGAGTTTAAGATTTTTATTACCGGATCCTAATCTACTTGAAATCAAAAAGACAATTCTTTAGTGGTGACTAAAATACTTTTGCTGAAACATATCCACTGGAATTTGGAAAGACCTTTGCTGGCAGTTTTGAACCAAATCCACAGAAATTTAAATGATTTTAATTACCTTCGCCAATTTGTCAT